AGGCAGAGAGGCAGGCAGAGAGAGAGAAAGGAGGAAGCAGGCTCCCTGCTGAGCAGAAAGCCCGATGCGGGGCTCGATCCCAGGATCCTGGGATCATGACCTGAGCCGAAGGCAGAGGCTTTAACCCACTGAGCCACCCCGGCGCCCCGGAAATTAAGAGTTTTGAGTATTTTAACAGCTTTCTTGAGGTATAATTGACATAAAAATTATATATATGACATATGATTTGATGTTTGATATATGTATGCATTATGAAGTGACTACCATAGTCAGGCCAATTAGCATATCTATTACCTCTACAAGATTGCATTTTCAGTGCCCTTCCTTCCTTGTGTAGATTCAGCCTAACATTACATGTAAAGTGTGCCACCCTTTATTTAATCTTTTTGTGGACATGTATGTTATTTCCAGAATTCTCCTCTTGTCAACTGTATTTGAAGCTGCCACTATTCCCCCCTCTCCCTTGGCTGCCCTTATAATTCTTTCTTTATTGTTGACTTTAGAGAATTTTAATATAATAAGTCTTAGAGGAGGTCTTTTCACATTGAGATAATAAGGTGTTTTATTAGCTTCATAGACTTGTATATCTAGTTCCTTCACCAGGTTTGGGAAGTTCTCAGCTGTTAGTTCTTTAAATATGTTCTCTGCTTCAGTGTTCCTTTCTGCTCCTTCTGGGATACTCATTATTCTTTTGTTGGCTTTTCTAATGGAGTCACACAGTTCTCATAGGGTTTCTTCACTTTTAAATTTTTCGGTTCTCCTCTTTTACCCGAATCACTTCTATATTTATATCTGCAAGCTCATCAATTCTCTCTTCCGTATGATCTGCTCTACTTCCAATGCATTCTCATGCATTCTTCATCTCATTTACTGAGTTCTTCAGCTCCAGAATTTTTTGGGTTCATTTTTAGAATTTCAGTCTTTTTGGTAGGATACTTTTCCTGCTTATTAATTTTATCTTGAGATTATTATATTGCATTTCTGAGTTTTCTTTTAGCTTGTTAAATTTCTTCATAACAGCTGTTTTCAGTTATTTATTCATTAGATCACAACATTTCATGTCTTTGGGTTTGGTTGATGGACTATTGTCATTTTCTTTCTGTGATAACCATATTATCATGATTTTTCATTATTTTGGATGAGAAGTGCCTCTGCCACTGCATTTGAAGAAGTGAACACCTTTTTTATTTAAGCAAGGCTTTGTTTACTTTTATTCTTTTTTAAAATATTTTTGAGTATAGTTGACAGACGTTGTTATATTAGTTTCAGGTGTACAGCATAGTGATTTCACCTCTTTATATGTTATGCTGTGCTCACCACAAGTGTAACTACCAACTGTCACCGTAAACACTATTATAATATCATTGACTATGTTCTCTATGCTGAGACATTAATTCCTGTGACTTCATTCCATAATTCAAAGCTTGGATCTCCCACTCCATTTCACTTCCTTTGTCCATTCCTCTACTATTCTTTCCTCTGGCAATCATCAATTTATTTTCTGTATTTATAGGTCTAATTCTGCTTCCTCTTTGTCTACTCATTTGTTCTTCTAGATTCTACATATGAGTGAAATTATATGGCATTTGTCTTTCTCAGTCTGAGTTATTTCATTTAGTGTAATACACTCCAGGTCCATCCATGTTGTCATAAATGGCACAACTTTATTCTTTTCTGTGACTGCCTAATATTTCAGTGTGTGTGTGTGTGTGTGTGTGTGTGTGTACCACACATTCCACATCTTCATTATCATTTTGTCTATTAAGGGACAGTTAGGATGCTTCCATATCTTGGCTTTTGTAAATAAGTCTATAATATTTGTTTACTGTGATTAGAATAATCTAACAGGTTGAAAGCCTTCCTTTTGTTTTCTAGAACATGGCACTATAACACAAGGTTTTAGTTTTTCTTAGAGGAGATGACTCTCAGCTAAGACTGGGAGACTACATATTTTAAAAAAATAAATAAAAAGGAAATGGCAGTGGTAGGATAGGGTGGGTGTGTACTTAGCACTTGATACTTGGAGTGTGCCCATGGCCCTACAGGGGAGTCCTCAAGTTGAGCAGTCCCCAAGATCCTCGGGTGGTCCTCTTGCCTGTTGGAGCTGACAACAGGAGACATTATCCTTTATTTCTTATTGTCTGCCTTTTGCTCTTTCCTTCCCTTCCCTAATTCACATAGTCTCTCCTAAGAGAGTAACTGGTCCCTGCAGCTGCTGCAAATGGCCCACCGGACAGACTCCTACTCATTTCTTCATACTCCATCTCCCTTGCTAGAATGGTCATACTGCCTCAGTGCCTGGCTGACCACTGCTTTATCTGCTGTCACTGCCTATGCCCCAGCAGCTCCACTAGTATTTCCCTCCTTCTGCCACCATCTCCAGGGTCTGGTCCACCTAGTGCTAGATGCATAAGTGCTAGATCTCTTGAGTGTTCTATGTGCTGCACAGAGATACTTTTTTGTTATCATTGTAATGAATGTTGGACTAGTTGTAAATCACAGGGGAGCAGAAAAAGATATAAAGCACACCACCAAGATGCCAACACCCTCTCTCAATTTAACTTTATTTTTTTGATACTATACTGCACCTTGGTACTTAGGTAAGCCATTTGACCTTTCTCAGTTTTAAAACCATGAAATTAGCCAAGTAATGTAATGCTGTAACTTTCTAGGGGCTGAGGGGTGGGAGAGAAACAATAGAGTATTTCTCTGCATAGCCAGGTTGTTGGCTAGCTACCTTCTACTGAAGTGAAAATACATCCTTCCTGCCACTATTCCAAATTAGCCCACCTCCTGACCTCTTGGCTGCCGACTCTGCCTCATGGGATTCCATACTAGCCATTGCAGTATGGCTGAGTAGAACAAAGAAGCTATTGTCTGAGAATAGATGCTAGAGAAGATTTTGCCAAATTGTGCATTCTAAGGTGAATGGGTTTTCACAAATGGAGTGTTAATCACGCTTCTCTGACACTAAAATTATGGAAGCAGACCAAGAATAAACCTGCAAATAAGAAGAGCCCTTTGTTCCTCTCTCAAATTAACAGCGCAAGCATACTGGAAATGCAAAGAAAACAAATTTGCTGAAAGATAAACACCTCTAACAGAAAAAAACTTCATACGACATTTTTTATAATCAAAACAAACTTTTTTTTGTTTATTGGATGAGTATTTAACAGAAATGCTTTCAATTACATGTTGCATTAATTTCTTATTTTATGGTATTACCTAGAACCTTGTGACTTGAAGTATGGTTGTTTTTTTGTTGTTGTTGTTTTGATTATGTTAGTCACCACACACTACTTCATTAGTTTTTGATGCAGTGCCCCATGATTCATTGCTTGCATGTAATAGCCACTGCTCATTGAAATATGTGCCCTCCTTAGTACCCATCACCAGGTGAATCCATCCCCCCCTTCCCCGCCGCCACCCTGCAACCCTCAGTTTGTTTCCCGGTGTCCATTGTCTCTCATGGTTCATCTCCCACTCTGATCCCCCCCCCCCTTATTTTTCCCTTCTTTCTTCTAATGTCCTCTATGGTATTCCTTATGTTCCATATATAAGTGAAACCATATGATAATTGTCTTTCTCTGCTTGACCTATTTTACTCAGCATAATCCCCTCCAGTTCCATCCATGTCAATGCAAACGTTGGGTATTCATCCTTTCTGATGGCTGAGTAATATTCCATTGTATATATGGACCACATCTTCTTTATCCATTCATCTGTTGAAGGGCATCTCAGCTCCTTCCACAGTTTGGCTATTGTGGACAATGTTGCTGTGAACATTGGGGTGCATGTGCCCCTTCTTTTCACTATATCTATATCTTTGGGGTAAATACCCAGTAGTGTAATTGCCAGGCAATAGAATAAGCTCTATTTTTAACTTTTTGAGGAAACTCCATACTGTTTTCCAAAGTGGCTGTACCAACTTACATTCCCACCAATAGTCTAAGAGGGTTCCCCTTTCTCCACATCCTCTCCAACAGTTGTTGTTTCTTGCCTTGTCAGTTTTTGCCATTTTAACTGGTGTAAGGTGGTATCTCAATGTGGTTTTGGTTTGAGTTTTCCTGATGGCTAATGATGCTGGACATTTTTTTTTTCAATGTGTATGTTAGCCATTCATATGTCTTCTTTGGAGAAGTGTCTCTCTTTTCATGTCTTCTGCCCAGTTTTTTGGTTTGATTATTTGTTTTTTGGGTGTTGAGTTTGAGAAGTTCTTTATAGATCTTGGATACCAGCCCATTGTCTGTAGTGTCATTTGCAAATATCTTCTCCCACTCTGTGAGTTTCCTCTTTGTTTTGTTGACTTTTTGCTTTGTTGTACAGAAGCTTTTTATCTTGATGAAGTTCCAAAAGTTCATTTTCGCTTTTTCTTCCCTTGCCTTTGGAGACGTATCTTGAAAGAAGTTGTTGCAGCTGATGTCACAAAGGTTAATGCCTATGTTCTCCTCTAGGATTTTGATGGATTCCTGCCTCACGTTGAGGTCTTTCATCCATTTTGAGTTTATCTTTGTGTGTGGTGTAAGAGAATGGTCCAGTTTCATTCTTCTGAAGTGCAGTTCTACAGGCTGGTAACACTGGAATTACTTGAGAGCTTGTCAAAAATTCAGTCATTGGCCCTTTCTCAAACCTATCAAGTCAGAATTTCCATTTTATTCAGAAGATTTACATGTACAAAAAGAGTTGAAAGACTACTGTAGAATATGAGGTTCCAAAAAACAAGCACTTCATATATTTCTGTGTTATTCCATGTCATCTAGCACCTGGATTTACAGGAGTCACTCAACATGTTGGGCTGCATGAAGTATGACATGGTTCCTTTATCAGGCTCTATGATTTAGAACATAGTAGCTTTCTGTGGAATATGGGTTTTGCTTAGGGAAATTCATGTGGTAGGGAAAATACCATGGGTTTAATCAGAAGCCAGTGTATAAAAACCACATTTGCCAGCCACCTTTGCAAAAATCAAGGCCATGCACAGCTTGAGTACTGGCTACTGGCTACTCCTCACTTTCATCTTCTCCATTTATAGACTCTGTTCCCACTTCTTCATAATCCTTCTCCAGGGCAGCCAGGTCCTCTCGAGCCTCTGAGAACTCTCCTTTCTCCATGCCCTCGCCCACGTACCAGTGCACAAAGGCCTGTTTGGCGTACATCAGGTCAAACTTGTGGTCGAGGTGGGCCCAGGCCTCGGCAATGGCTGTGGTGTTGTTCAGCATGCACACGGCCCGCTGCACCTTGGCCAGGTCGCCCCCGAGCACCACTGTGGGGGGCTGGTAGTTAATGCCAACCTTGAAACCTGTGGGACAACAGTCCACAAACTGGATGGTGCGCTTGGTCTTGATAGCGGCGATGGTGATCAAAAGATGGAAGGAATGGCCATAAGAGTTCTGATGAAACCCTCAGGTTTGACTACATAGTTTGGGGGGCCCAGTGTGAAATGAAAATGTCACGCCTTTTGTTAAAAAATGATGAATTCCAAGACAGCAATGGTTGAGCATTAAACCAAACATAAGCCCCTCTAGTGTGGGATGGATGGATGTGTAGGAGGCTGTGCTACTGCACTGGCATGCTGTGAAGCAGCCCTGGCAACATTCTAGCTCCTCTCTTCCCTGACCCTGGCCAACTCCTGAAACCATGTGTGAGACTGTGGCACTATAAAATGCTGGAGGTTCTTTTAGCCTGTCCGAGAGACCATGGGAAGCAGAGCCCCTGCCAACATTCTCTGGACTTACAGTGAAGGAGAAATAAACTCTTTTTTCTAAAAGCCACTGAGACTTCAGAGTTAATTTGTTAATGCCTCATAGATCTAGCCCATCTTGACTTAATCATCTGAGTTGTTCCCAATCACAGATGAATGAAATTGAGAGGAAGAGGTTAGAACTTAACTGAGAGACTGCCGGCAGTGAGGTAGGGAGGGTTGGCATGGAGATCAGAGCTGGAATATTTAGGCTTGTAATAGAAAAGTGTTCAAAGGAGGATTAGAACATTTATGTGGAGAGAGTTTGGGGAAAAGAGACAGGGAGAGGAAAGGAGATTTCACCTTCCTCTTTTCTTAGTTAATACGGAGGAAAAGGTACTGGGTAGTCATGGACAGTGATAAAAAATTTATGAAGATGTATTTTGAAGTAACTACTATTAGAAACCACCTAGGAGACAGGGATAAATAAGGAAATATGTGTCATAAAAAATTGAGATGCATGCAGCCTTTGGGTGGGGTCAAGAAATCTAATTGATGGAGCTAGAGGGAACAGAAGGAAAGATGGCCAAGTGTCAAGAACAAAAAGGTACTTTGAGTTAAATTTTACAGAATATATATCACCTCTGTATTTCAGCATTCATTGCTCCATTAATGTAAATCATGATCATTTCACAGTTTCAAACAGGTCCATGGAATCGCACGTGGTGATTGTCACTTGGGTATCGGTGTCTGGCCACACCAAAAGGCCTCTAAAATTTTCATTTTCTTTGTGAGGTTGACACAGGTGGATTTGTAAGGTGGATTATTGTTATACCTCCAAACCAAGAGGTTGATATTATAAGGAAAAATACAGATGTCAAGCAGAATAGAATATACAATGTCATCACATTCCTGTCCTTTACCCAAACTGCATAGGAACCCATTTAAAACTGGATTTCTACTTCATTAAATTGCCCCCAAAGAAATAATGACATTTACAAACACCTATTAAATGTTGCGTGTCAGGCACTCTTCTCAATGCTTTATGTGTGAGACTGAGGAACTTATTCAAGGTCACGTAAGTAGTAAGAGGTTGAGCTGTTATCTGAACTATTTGTCTATCCTGTGATTTGGGGTTATGGGAAGCCATGTAGTACAATACCATTGTCAAAATGATAGTCCTCCAGTGGGCTGGCCAGCCTCACCTTTTCCTGTAGGGAAGCTACAAGAGTAGTCATTTTTCAACAAGGCTGTTGGAAGGGGCAAGATGGCTTTGTGCTTAAGAGCATGGTCATTGGAGTCACACTTCTTGGGGTCACATGCTTACTCCAACCTCTTGTGTAATTTGGGCAAATTACTCAGTCTTTTTTTTTTTTTTTTTGGTTCCCTAAGCTATAAAATGTGGAAATCATAGTGTAGTTGTAAAGCTTAAGTGAGAAAGGAAGACTGAGCAGAATACTTGGCCTGTTAATTCAATCAATATTAGCTACTGTTACTAGTGAGCATAGAACCAGTTCAAAGATAATTCTTGCTTATTTTATTAGGTCCATCTCATATCATTGTCAGCACACATCTAACTCCCAAAGTTGTAGGGGCTCCCTTCTGTCAGCAGGGCAAAGTTCTAATTCTTCTGTAAATTTTCTGCTACAATTTTGCACTTTTTTTTTCTGTCCTTAACAGGCTCTTCCCCAACATGATGCTTCAGTCTGGTACATCACACAAGCCCCTGTGCCTTTTCCCATGTCATTTCTCTTGTTCATCCTTCAGATCTAGTTTGGGTGTCACCTTCCCATAAACTCTGCTTGGAATACTCTGTTCTGCAGTAATGCCCTTTCTCTTCTGAGCTTCAGGAATACCCATCTCAGCTAATATTCCTTGTGTGTATTAATTCTTACAGTATTTTCTCAATGTTTGCTTATAAATGCATAGAAGAGATAAAGCCTGTAGGCATCAAATACTACATTTTAATGAAGCTGATTAAGCTTGATTATCAACATGAGCACTTTGAGGTAGGGATATTTTAATATGTCTAAATATAAGAACAATTTCTTATGATCCTGTTTTATATACAAAAGGGAGCTCAGACTTTTAATTCATCCCTGCAGCTTGAGACATTTCTGAGCCCCGTTCCATCTTCTAAGTGGAGTCAGGGATGGAGTTGGGCCCAAGAAATATCTTTTCTGCCCCTTAATTTATATAAAGAAAAATAATCAATGACATCAAAATAACATGGCTTTGTGAGAGCAGGTTTATAAAAATGACAGGTGCCTTTCAGAAAGTATTGGCATCCTGGTTGACTCCTTAGTTGCCATCCGTTTTCTAATTCCCTATGGAAGATTTATTTCAGAGCGCACTATGTGTTAAGTCTCAACTAGGAGTCCTGAAACTATTAATGCTCAATAAATGTTGACTGAAAAAAATACATGGTCTTAGATAAAGGAGTACCTTTCAACTCCTTAATTAAGAATATTTGTATCCACATAGCTATCCTTTCTATCTGTGTCTACCTACCTACCTACTATTTGTTTATTTTTCTACATAGATAAGCAGATACATAGATCTCCATAGTGACAGAATCATTAGGATTAACTTGTAAGAACACTCTTGAATCAGTGTGATTGCGGTACCCTGTATATAGTTAGAAGAAATTCAACTTGGAATTATAATGTGTGAAAACTGAGAAGTAAGCAATAAAAAAATCTTTTTAAAAATTTGACGTTACAAAAAAGAAGGCAAAGTGACCATTACAGCAGGGGAGATTGATGATTCTTTCCACAGCTTAAATCTTTGTTGATTAGTACATCTATTTTCCTCCTAGAGATATGTTTGTTAGCACTAAATCATGGACCCATCCATACAGACAGGATATATATGTACATATCCTAGAACTGCTGGGCATTCGGGTTCTACGCTTGTCTCTAAGAATAATGGCTAAGATAGGTAGGGGGCCATCAGTCATCTTGAGGCAGTGGGTGCCCTCTCTCAGTCTGATAATGGCTCCTGCCTCTTTGGTAGACTAGTTAGTTACTGGTGGCTTTTATGAGAGTTTATTATTGCCTTTTCCCTTTAAAAGACCCGTCTGTCACTGTGCTGCACCTCTTACTTTAATTAGACTGAACACACACAGAATGCTAGAGCAAGGAACAATTAAGGGAAATTATGTGTTAAACACACAGTCTTTAGGGTATGGACCTCAGACCACTGCAGCCAGGAGGCCTGATAAAGGAACATGCATAGATGCTCTGGTCAAAGTTCTTCCTCACAGTTTTGGGGAAAGAAATGCCAAAAGCAAGAGGGATCCGAGCAAATCTCCCCCACTTCTTGCCCTGATGGTCCTGCTCATTCTGATGGTTTTGGTCTTAGAATTCAGGTTCTTTGCTAAGGACACATGGGCTATTATTGTTGGGTACAACCATCAGATCATCTCTCATCTTGACCAGAGTGCTCCACCCTGAACTGAAATGACCTGTGGACTCATCCTCAAATTACCATCTTCCAAATTGAGCTAATGTGCCCTTGTGGTGGGTGTGGGTGGAAGTCAATTGATGAGGCATGTCATACAAAGAGGACTAGATAGCCATTTCATGGGCTTCTAGACTAGGTGGAGTGGGGCAGGTTTGACATGTTAGTGGTGAGATCACAGTGGTATTCTCCATTTTGCCCTGAGTCGCAGAGCATCTTTACTAAATATATTAGACTCAGTGTAAATATCTTCTAAAATTCACTTGGGTCCATCCCCCTGGCCAAAGAGAGACAGGCCACCAGCTATGTGTGCTTCTTTCAGGCTGAGGCCTGGGCTTTGGCCTGGCTTCCATTGTACCTGCTGCAGAGGGAGGTCTGGAGGCTCCAGCACCCAGGGCTGTCTCAACCATACCTAGGAGGCTATAGCTTCCCACACAGCTTCAGTCTGAGGTCAGGCATCATGCCTTAGGCCATAAGATCTGGATATTCCTGCAGCAGCCTGGAAGGACTAAGCACTAAAAGATAAATAACAGAGATAAAGGAAACTTGATGCTCTCTGTGTCAATTTTTGACCAGGTCCACTGTTAACAGCTGCAGGGCTTAGGAAGTCTACTAAAACCATATGTCCAAATATGTAAAAGTTAGATAGCAGATTAATCAGTTGTAAAATGAAGATAAGTTATAGCACATCTATTTTACCCCACTCACAAAAATTCACTTGAAATGGATTAAAGATTTAAATGTAAGACCTGAAACCATGAAACTTGTTGATGTCGGTTTGGAAATGATTTTTTGGATATGACACCTTAAGGCACAAGAAACAAAATAAAAAGCAAGTGGGATTACATGATACTGTCAGGCTTCTGCCTGACAAACCATCAACAAGGTGAAAAGACAACCTATGGAAACCTATGGAATGGGAATTAAAAAAATGTTCACAAACCCCATATCGGATAACATTGTTAAAACCAAAATATGTAAAGAAGTCATACAACTTAACACCATAACAATAAATAATCCAATTAAAATGTACTAAATATGATTTTTCCCCCAAAAGATAAATGATATATGAATGGCCAATAGGAACATTAAAAAAGTATTTAACATCACTAGTCATCAGTAAAATGCAAATCAAAAACACCATGAGATATCTCCTCATGCCTTTTAGAATGGCCGTGATCAAAAAGATAAGAGATAATAAACTTTGGCTAAGATATGGAGAAAGGGAACCCTCATATTCTCTCAGTAGAATTGTAAACTGGTATGGATACAATGAAAAACAGTATGGAAGATCCTCAAAAAATTGAATGTAAAACTATCATATGATCCAGTAATTCCGCTTCTGGGTATACATGTAAAGAAAATGAAAACAACAACTCAAACATATATGTACCCTCATGTTCATAGTAGCATTATTTATAGCATTTGAGACACAAAAACAAGTTAAGGGCCCATCCATGGATGAATGAACAAAGATGTTGTGATATCTATGTACACAATGGAATATTATTCAGCCACTAAAAATGAGGAAGTCCTATCATTTCTTACAACATGGATGGAACTCGAGGACATCATGCTAAGTGAAATAAAACAAAGACAAATACTGTATGATCTCACATATAGACTCTAAAAAAACAAAAACAAATTCAGATCAGGTTTGTGGTGGGAGATGAGGAAAGAGAATTGGAGGAAGGTGGGCAAAAGGTACAAACTTGCAGTTATAAGATAAATAAGTGCTAGGTATGTAATGTACTACATAATGCCTATAACTCTTAAGAGTTCTTATCACAAGGAAAATAATTGTTTTTCTTTTTCTTGTTTCTAAGTAAGATGATGTATGGAAACTAAACTTAGAGCAGCAATCATTTCACTGTATCTATAGGTCAAACCATTTGCTGTGTACCTTAAACTTACACTCACACAGTGATATATGTCAGTTATATCTCAATAAAACTGGAAAAAATAAGTCTCCACCCTTTATTGGCATGTTTGTGATGACAAGATTGAAAAAAAATGAGCCAAGCTAATTACTTATGTGAATTAACACTGATAAATTATCAAAATGCTGAGTATAAGAACCATGACACATACCTTGGTATTTTTTGAAGGACTAGTGATGTTTAGTGGAGTATTAAAAGTCATGATATATACATAATTTATGAATTCTTATTTTCACCTTATTTCAGTAAAACCTAATTACTGTAATCAAGATTGTCATATAAGTTGGGTTGAACAGATTCTAGTGCTTTAAAAGCGTAAAAAATAAGATATACATAATTGTATACAACTTCAATGTATTTTATCGAAAAGTAAATGAAATGTAAAATTATTTTTCAGTTGTCTTCAAAAACTTGTTTTCTTTGATAAGTCAAGCAGAGAGAGTCAATTATATGGTTTCACTTACTTGTGGAGCATAAGGAATAACATGGAGGACATTGGGAGAAGAAGAGAAGTGAGTTGGGGGAAATCGGAAGGGGAGATGAACCATGAGAGACTGTGGACTCTGAGAAACAAACTGAGGGTTTTGGAGGGGAAGGTGGTAGGGGTTTGGGTGAGCCTGGTGGTGGGTATTAAAGAGGGCACGTATTGCATGGAGTACTGGGTGTGATGCATAAACAATAAATCTTGGAGTACTGAAAAAAATAAAGTAAAAAAAAAACTTGTTTTCTTTGAAACAAATAATGTAAATTTGTATTTTTCTGTTAAAAGCAAAATACAAATTGATATCAAATAAATTTACTTAAGTCTTAAAATACTTAGTTAAAAATTGATTAAAATTTTTAATTTTATTTTATTATTATTAATATCATGCTCAATTAGCCCACGTATAGTACATCATTAGTTTTTGATGTAGTGTTCAATGATTCATTAGTTGCATATAACACCCAGTGCTCATCACAACATGTGCCCTTCTTAATACCCATCACCCGGATACCCCATCCCTCCACCCCTCTCTCTTCTGTAAACTGAGGGTAACTATTTTCAATGGGAGGGTTCATACTTTATCTAGTTGCCAATGTAAACAATCAGCTACATATTTCATATCTGTTATATTCAGCTCTACATATAGTTTGCACAAATTGAAAGTAATACTGATCACTACAGCAAAATCTCTTTTAACTATCATGTGCTGCTCTTTAGAAGTACTGCATTAACTTTGGGGTACTTAAGAATGTTGAATAGCTACCAATGAACATGGATGCTTAGCATGTCCAGGAAACAATACTTTGTCATGCAAGTGTCCATTCCACCCTAACTGTCTGAAAAGAATGGTTCCTTACATTCTCTGACCTAAGGGTGTCCACTGGTCACATCATGTCATACTCTGTATTGTATCCATCTTTGCATCAGCAGTGGCCCACCATGGGCTTCTGCATAAGGCTGATATACAGGGCAAG